AACGAAACAGAGGAATCGGAATATTCAGAGGCGTTTACTCAACGTCATTTTTATTGTTGTAAATAAATAACAAAGGGAAAATGCTCAAATTTGGCCCAACTGTATTCACACCCGTCAGTCCCGACTTTGCATTGGTAGCCATATTGCAGTGTCGATGAAAAACAAGCATGTTTTATTGAGCGACTGTACCCATGCATGAATCCAAAATGTTAATCACCGACATTTTCCGCCCAAGGCTCTTCCCTGACGCTCGTTATTGAGCTTCTTTACCACCACGGCATACATTTGATGGATTTTCTTTACCGTGTCATTGTGCAACCACTCAGTATTAATCCATTAACTCAGCAGGGGAGAGGTGAAGGTTATTAGGACTCCGGGGGTGAGCTAAGCTTTGCGGTTGGTCACTCGAAAACCTGCTTTCCTGTTGCTCCCTAACCCCAGTTAGTAAATGCATTGATGAAAGCCGATTATGTGGGATGTCTGCGGAGTGCTCCCTTCACTCGACATGATCATTGATTGCAGCTATCTAATCAGGACGGCTCACCAAAAACATTTTAGGAAAATCCATCCATCCGATGACAATTTTGAAATTCACTGCCTGCCGTGAAAAGATTTCACTATACTTTGATTTTGAATAGGATTATAAAGCCAGTTAGCAACCTCATGCTAATTTTCCGTGGATTCCCTTCACCGCGTTGTTTCACGCTGAACAAGTTGTATGTGAGAATTACTTGAGGTTTCTGAAGCTTGCTTGAAGGCAACATGTATCGTTTTAATGGCGCGTATACAAGTAGTTGGGTCTCTTTCGTGCCTGCCAAGCAACGATGGTTATTTCCAGGTTGTAATGGAATATCACAGAACACAAACAATGATCATGTGCTCTCAAGCTGGTGGTTTCTTTTCGAGTGACTTCATCTAATTAAGTGCATTAATGATTCCACTTATAGGACCCGCCCGTCCTGAACACACACCCAATTTTAGACGCATGATTATTCCGATTTTATTTTTTTCCCCACTTGGGCGCTTGTCACTTGCACAATGCGGCTACAGATAGACCCAGTATAGATTATATGCTCATAAACAACGCTGCTTAGCGGGACAGAAATTCCCAAAACATCCTGACCTCATTGCTCACGTGTTTGTGCTTTGACTGTTGCAGCAACTGTCACTCCGACAGTCCCGCGGCATGATTGACTTCTAACTTTGTATGCATGCGTGTGCCGCGAGAGGTTATTTTGTACCACGGCGAGGGTGCTTAACTCAATTGTCTACGGTCACCCACTTAAGCTTCCGTCCATGCGTTCTCAATAGGCGTCTTCATATTGGACAAGGTGCTCGGCGGTCAACACTGGTATGCACTCTGCAGTACGAAAGCATCCCATAAAACAATTATAGTGCGCGCTTATCAAATCGATTGAATTTTTGGGTGTCTTGAAATATTCAAAGAGGAGTCTTCAAAGGTGGTGCTGAACTGCATACCTACAGGAAATTACATGCTTATCTGTGACAGGATGATCGAAAAAAAAAAACCCCAAAAAAATCACAAGAGACCTTTACTGGTGTGTGTGTGTGTTTCCGTCGGATGGTCCCCACAAGGGTCATTCAGAAATCTGCATGGAAACCTGCACACGTTTGTGACTTCAGAAAAGGTGGTCCCCGCAAGCGTCATGAAAGCTGTTTCGTGTGTATTACCTTGACAAAAGTCGGTCCCCAAGGCGGCAACCGGAGAGGTGTCCCTCTTGAATCAGGTACCTGTGTCAAATCAAGAAAGGAGGGTCTTCCCTACAGGTGTCATTAAAATAAATACAGAAATAAATAAATCCAGAAATAAATAAATAAAAATTATCATACAAAGAAATTCACGTACTAATTAACAGGTGAGAAACTAGCACTAGCACTAAACTGGGGCTCGCTGTCAATGAAAAAAAAACAAAACAAAACGCAGTCGCCGTACATTATTTATGCTACCCGACACTTTTATCGAATCAGTCACAATGTTGAGCATGTGTACTAAAACCAGCTCTGCTATCCTGAGCTGTGAGTTGATTACTTCGCTGAAACACTGTCCACGTTGTCACAAGGCCAGAGTCCCTTATTGCTCCTCGGGGAGGCGGGGGGGGAACGGGGATCGTGTGTCCTATGGCATAGTCGGAGGCTTTTCCACATTAGGGTGACTGAAGAGGAAATGTGACAGTCGGGTATACGTCGGCGCACGTGCTAGCACCGCATGCTAAGTAAGAGTGAAAACCCACGCAGTTTGAACGATCAGAATCCAAACCAGACTGTGGACGTGCCCGGTTGCCATGCGATACGGAGTCTCATCAAGTCATCAGCAAGGTTGCAGACGATTGACCGCTCATATTGCCGTACACTTGTACGCAATTATGGACGCACGTGCCAATTATGGGCCGCAACCTTGGCTCCGTGATTAGAGCGTGTCGTCGTAAAACATATCATCACTGGCTCATGACACATCATTGACATTTTTAGCGCAAAGCACAGCAAATGTTTGTCAAACGATATCGGACACGTGAAGCTAAAAAAAAAATAAATACATGAATAAATACTGATGTGATGCGGCAATAAAACAAATGAGGGGACTGAATGTGTTTCTGATGTATTTGGACTGTAAAGGGCCTTCTTCTTTATGAAAAGTAACCTTTGGGAATCCAATTCATTGACAATTAGGACACAAGGAGTCAAATGGAATGATTCAGCACTTTCTCGCTTTTATTATTCACTCCCACAAGCATAAATGAAGTGACAAAGTGCAAAGCAGCACTGCCGTGAACGTTTTTTGCTACCAAACAGTGAACACAGCACAATCCCGTCGCCGCCGTTATTGTCTCCTTCGGCACACCCCCCGATCAATTCGGTAGACTCTGAGGATTAAATATCGCTTTGCAGTTTCATACGCAGCATCAGAAAAATGGTTATTTTATTTATTTATCTATTTATTTGTATTTTATTTCTTTTTAGTCAAAGGCTTTTTTGGAAAAAAAACAAAAAAAACAAAAAAAAATATATTTACAAGCTCATAAGACACTAGAATTTGTCAAAACATTTGAATAAAAACAGAAGAAAATAATTGTGATGCGCCCAAAAACGTGTCCGCTTGAAAATGTATCTCAATGTACAGTAAATATATATATATATTTTTTTTTGCGCATGTAACCATATACTGTATAGGTTGTATTAATATGTTTTCTTTACTCTAGGAGTAAATACATTCTACTCTACAATCACGAGAACAACACCGTGTACATTCTCAAACTAAACGGTTCCATCCTTCCAAATGTTGAACCTTGACCAGCAGGTATGTATGCGACGACATGCTTCATGTGTGTAAGCGTCTGGCTACATGGGTGTGTGTGTGTGTGTGTGTGTGTGTGTGTGTTGTGTGTGCGTGTGCGCGCAGCGTGTAGATAATCCCCCCACCCCCCCACCCCAGCCCCCTAACCCCGCAAACACACCCGCACACATGGGAAAATGATATGATCCGCAGTTATTCTGGTCCACTGCGCAAGTGAAACGTGATGCCGCATCTATTTGCGATCTATTTCGGCTGGCCAGCAAGGAGTCGGAATACGCTCGGTGGTTTCCAAACCCGACGCCCGCGCGCGCTCCTTCGACGTGCTCAGTGGCTGCATTTGAACACGCGAGAATACGTCCTTGTTCATTTTTCGATAGCTCCTCGATACTATTGCGTCGATACTGCCAAGCGGGAAATATGGACGTGCAAGGCAGCGTGTTCCGAGGCACTGAACGTTTTCAAATGTTCAAGGAGACAGTTGTTCATATTTGCTGTCGTCATTGAGCTCTTTTCTCATCAAATTGACTTGTTAAAATGTCGTTTTTTTCCTTTTTTGAAATGCACGTGGCCAGGGTGACTGCTAGCGTACGACTCTGGAGGCCGGAGGGGAAATGAGGAGGTTGCTCACTGTCTGTCTCATTAATGGGGGCCATCTGGAGAGAGGGCAGAGGGGAGGGGGCACGTGCAGAGACCAGGGGGGGGGGGGGGGGGGGGGGGGGGGGAGATTGAAGTGGTAGAAGGTCAGAAGGTCAGGTTCCACGCAATAAAGTTCGGAGCTGTCCTCAACCTCGGTTTCTACGTGCCAATCACCCAAAAAAAAAAAAAAAAAAAAAAAAAAAACAACCAACCTATGAAAACAAATATTAACACACACATGAACTTGAACAACACAAATACACAATCTGTATTTCTACGGCGGTTTTAGCGATGTTAAAAACCGATCTGACCCTGGAGGTAGTTTTGTGTTTCTCTTTGATTCCCTGGAGTGGCACAAAAGACCAAGATAAGTTCAACTCATGATGTCAAAATGATATTTGACAACGTGCTAATGAGCGTTTCTTTTGCGGGGGTAGCGACGGGCTTCCGTCGGCAAAGGCATTGGCGGTTCTTCAAAATGACTTTTTGTCGGGCTATTTTTTTTTTTTGGATTTTATTTTGAGTTTACAACCCTTTGAAAAGACACGCTCACTGAATTAAACATGGGCAACAGCAGGCCGCTAACGCGCGAGCTAATTTGGCAGCTGAAACTAAACGAAGCAAAAATAAAGAAACGGCAATCGAAGACACGCTCAATCTCCCAAAAGTGTCCAAATACAGCCACTGAACATTTTGTGTTTCGACTCCGACCGACCGTCCGTCCGTCCGTCCGGCCGGCGTGCAGCACATTTTGATGTTAAAAGGCCACTTTCCACCCTTAATGATGCAACATAACCTCCTAATTATTGACCTTAAAAAGCCCGATGTGCGACGAGTTCAATATCGAGTCATGACGCCCTGCGACGTGTGTGCTTTTTGCGCATGAAGGCGAACGAGCAAAATTCCCGTCGGAGCTGACCGGCCCGGCGGACATGTTTCATAGATGAGCACACACACACACACACACAAACAAACAAACAAACAAACACAAAGAGCGTTCCCTGCCAGCAGTGAGGCTTCAGAACATGTGCTTTCTCGCAGAAAGTGTGTCTGTGTCCCTGTGTGTGTGTGTGTGTGTGTCTGATTCGCTGATAAGAAGAAGCGAGCACCTCGTGGCGTTAGGCTCAGAACGACGTCAAGGAAGGAAAGGGAGCGTCCTTATTTTTTTTTTCTAAGAGCGGCGATTAATAGGAATAATGGCTAAAGATAAATATTGGTTTCTCCTACGAGTCGCTCGTGTATAGAAAACTGGAAGAAAGCTATAGTGCCTTAGTACACGCACGTGTCACCGCATCGTCCTAAAATAATTTATAACAATAAGTTATCCTTTAAAATGTATTTACATACGTACATCGTTATAATATTGGAGTCACCACACGTTTGTTTGTTTCTATATACGTGTGTGGATGTCATATCGCACATGGACGCACACACAATTTGGATACAATCAAGATGAGCTATTGCAACGCCGCGTGAAGTCGCCGGACATTCTTCTTGAAGAAAGGAGTTCGTGTGTATTGCTATTGCTTGAAAGAGCAGCCCGCTCACGCTTTTCTCGCCAAATACGAGTATTGCTTTTAGGGTCACGTAGAGCCGCCCCATAGCCCCCCCAATCTCCTCCTCCCATCATGATGTGTCCGCTTCATCGAGAAGAAGAAGAAGAAGAAGAAGAGGGGAGCTGTCATGTTCTGCTGCCTGTTTAGAAATCCGAGCGCAGCAGCAAGAAGAGGAAGGCCTCCCAGAAAAAAAAAAAAAAAAAAGAAAGAAACAGGCAGGAAGTGTGAGCCGCCGCGGAGTAACGTGTGACGAGGTGGGAGGGAGGGGCGATCCGAAAAACCTGTCATCTCCTCTAGAAGTCGGAGAAGAGATCCTGGGGGCCCAGGTGGATGATGAAGGGCGCGAGGGTCCGTGGCTGGTAGAAGGGATTGTCTATGAAAAGACCCCCTGGAACGACACACACACACACACACACACACACACACACAACATACAATAGTGAAACGTCTTGAGACTTTGGACCAGGAGGAAGGTTATGTTGGCATTTACAGCGGCGCCACTTCAAGGGCCGGAGCCATTTTTGGAAACATTCCACCAGAAAAAAAAAATTAAATAAAATTGTCAAAGTGGCATTTTGTACATTTTAATTAGACGTGACTGGGGGGACGCAGTGAGCAGCTGATTATGAAGGGATAATCTGACATTTTGGAAAAAAAAAAAGAAAAAAGAAAAAAAGCTTCATAGGAAGTTGGGAGTCATCATTTAAAATATTATTACAGTCATACCTTGGTTTTCAACCATAATCCGTTCCAGAAGGCTGTTCGAAAAGCGAAACCACTCTCTCTTTTTTTTCCAAAAAAAAAAAATCTTTTTGAACACGTCTGCTCACAATGGAACACGACACGAGGAAGCGTCACTTCCTCGTGTAAGGAAGGCGAGAGGAGTCAAGTGGCGCATTCAAGTGCACTCAGTTTGTTCGAGAACCGAAATTCGGTCGTAATCCGAGGCATAAAAAAACTCAAAATTTTTAGTCTAAAACCGATTTGGTCGAGAAGAGAGAGGTTCTAAAACCGAGGTTTGACTGTCAATACAAATAGATTAAGTATGGAAATTGGATGACAGTTTTTAACCATCCATTCTCTGTAGCTCTTGTTTTGCGATGTCACGGAGGTAGGACACGACAACTCGTTCGGCAATAAAAGTTGTATGGAGTGCTCAGATATAAAAGCGAAATCATGAACCATTAAATATTCGGTACCGCCAGTAATTTGGCATTGGTTATTTGCCACTGAATACATCTCCCGAGCCCTCTGCTGTCGCTGCCCAAAAAAAAAAAAAAAAAAAAAAAAAAAATGAAAATCCCAAACACACGCCAGCCCGACGCTCACTTGCTACAACGTGCCCCCGTGGGACACCTGGCAAGTATTAATCCACGGGAGGTAATGGGATCGTGCGGTTGAATGCGGAACGCGGGATCTGACTAATAGCTGCACAAATGGTCCCCCGAATGGGGATGACATGGGATTAACGTAAAAAGATTGAAAATCCCCGCGCATGTACGAGGCGGGAGTATCACCGATTCGAAATTAATTGCGCGGTTTCAATTCGACCTCGCGTTTCCTGAAAGCTGAGCAAATACAAGCAAAAAAGAAAAACTACAAAAGTCAGCGTTCCACTTTTATAGGAAATAAACTTTATTCCACATGATTGAATTTTTCCTGTACATCCCTTCACACAGCTCATATTCATTTGATATTTTACAGAGAATACGTGTGACGTATTGCAAAAGTAAGCGCCCCCCCCCCTCCCCCCGCTCTGGTAAAGAACAAAAATCACAACAGATATAATTTAGGATGAGCGAAAAAAGTAAAAATTCACAGTATAAATCCTTCAAGTTTTCAACTTCAAAAGTTAAACCTGCAGTATGTTTTGGGGGAATAACCCCCCCCCACACACACAAAAAAAGGACTTCTGCATCTTGAGAGTGTATGGAAAGTAGAAGAAAATGTGTCCCTTGTGGAAAAAAAAAATCAGTTTGGTTTACGCGTCTGCTGGTTTAAAAGAAGTGGTAGTGGGGGACGGGGTAGGCGGGTACTTTCATGACGGGCAACAGAAGCATTCTCTTGGGCAAACCTGGAAGGGGACACATGAGAAGAGCTCGACGTGAGTGAGCGTCCAAGCCAACGGGGGGGTCGGCCAACGCTTTTACGGTGAGGAGACGTCCGCGATGAGTCGGCCTTTCCGGCAGGCGGCGAGAGTTAGTGGCGGCGCATCTCCAAGCAGCGGAAGCAGGGCGGGGGGGGGGTTAAAGTTGTGAATGGGAAAGATCAAAGCGCTTCTTCATGCGAGCGGCTCAGCAGGCCTCGCTGCTTCCTGTCCGTCTCAATTGTACCGAAGGTGGGGGGAAACGTTTTTTTTTTTCGATGCACAGCTGCTGACTGACTTGCACGTGGCGGAGGGCGCGGGGCACAATCCTAATTTTCACCGCCGTCAACTCGTGGGCGGATAGTGAAATTGACTTGCTGTCCGACTCGTGAGAGAAAAGCTCCAGTGGTGGTCCGGCGTGCACGCGGCTGAAGGCTACGCGGCGCGGCCGCCTTTCAAACGTTCAAAATGAGACGTGATGAAAGTCGACAAATCGACTCGGCGGAGCAAAGATCAATCGCCAGGGAGTGTGCTGCTATCAAAAGTCGAAAATTAAACGAATAATAGACAGCAAACTAGTTGAGACGGACTCAACGGCGCCTCCGGTGGTTGAAGCCAAGTTGCGCGGTAACCAGCAATTCCGCACCATCGACGAGTTCTTTGTTTCATCGATTACCGCGCCCGATCGAGACTTCCTATACCTTGTCTTCTAGATCGTAGATTTGAACATGAGCTGCCGCAGCGCTCTAATTTCCCTTCGAAATTCATCAAGTCCCATTTGATCTCAGCTCAAGACCAGAAAGTCAGACAGCAGTGCTTGGCTGAATATCAAGTGGCGAGCGGACACTTAGCCAAAGGGCACATTTCTTTGAAGATCTCACGCACACACACACACACACACACACACACACACACACACACACACACACACACACACGCCAAACACCAAACACACACGCACGAGACAGAAAGCTTACAGCCCCGATCAGCATTTAATCAATTGGTCCAAGTTGAAAAACGAAAAAAGGAGAGTTGAGATGTTAAGAGTCTAAGCCGGAAGAGGGGAAAAAAAAAAAGCTTTGAACCGTGAGGATGATCGCAGATCATGTTGAAAGCGACAGAGAGAAGTGAGCGCTGCAATGGCGGGAAACGACAAGCCGCACGTACCGTACGCAGGAGCAGCTGCGGCGGCGGCCGGGCTGTAGGCGTACGGCGTTCCGAAGCCTGTTGACGAATCGACGAAAAGGGGGTGAGATCGCACACTTGCGCGGCTCACAAGCTGATTTCACCCGACGTGGAGTCACAAAAAAAAAAAACAAAGCAAAACAAAAAAAAGACTCACCTGGCGTGACGTATCCTGGCGCCGCGGCGCTGACGAAGGCTCCCCGCGCGAGGGCCGCTCGTCCTCGTCCTTGGGCTACCTGAGCCGCCACGGCCGAGGCCGCCGCCGCCGCAGCCAGGGCTCCTTTCGTCTGAGCGCCGGGACACAATGGAGATTTCACGGAGAGTTAGCTTTCACGTTCCACAAAAGAGCGGCGGTGTGTTTGTCAATTAGAGAGCGCGAACGGCAGAACGGCAGAACGGCGGTGCGACGGCGCGCTTTATGGACGTCTAATCTGTGCGCGACCGTAAATTGTGAGTTAAAGGCTGCGCTCACGCTGGGCTAAGCGCGTTGAAACATTACAGCGATTTCCACCCATGTGGCGGGAAATTATCCAATTCCACTTAACCGGAGCGAAAAAAAAATGATCACATATTGATGACAAATAATGTACCGTATGCTAGCGATGTATAAGTGAGAGCCAGAGTGTTCGGTGCTCTTCCACTGGAAGGCAGAAAGTGAAATAAAACTGTGCTTCAAAGCGATTTATACGAACGGAAGAGTCGCTTTGTGGTCAACCAAACAGGTCCAGATTTCACACTCAGTCAGTTTGTCTCGAAACTGAGACAAAAATCATCTTTCTTGTGGCCTGTTCGAGAACGTTTTGTGTTTTGGAACGATACTTCAGGAACGATGGAATCCCATTTCAAGACATGAATGATATGATCACTCGCTTCGTGATACTTTGGCCAGAACTCAAATGTCTTGGTGGGGAGGAAAAAGTGGTATCGGTGCATTTGTGGTGGTGGTAGTCGATTATGCCATAACTTTTGACGATATGATCACTCGCTTCGTGATACTTTGGCCAGAACTCAAATGTCTTGGTGGGGAGGAAAAAGTGGTATCGGTGCATTTGTGGTGGTAGTCGATTCTGCCCTAACTTTTGATGAACCAATCAGGCTGTTGATGAGGTAATATGGTGTTGTGCATTCCTGACCTGAGGCAGCAGCTTCTTCTTCTTGTTTGCAGCAGCGTTGGGACCAGAGAAGAGTTTTTCCAGAGCGGCCAAAGCCGCACTGGCCTTTGCTACCTTTTTGTTGGGGCCCGCCCCACGGAACTTCTGTCCGTCCACCTCCACCTGGCATACACAGAGAACATAATTAGCGCTTAATCTGGGGGTTCCCCCCCCCCTGTCAAAACTAATTATCACGCAACCACGCAGTCCCAAAACCGGCAATGGGCCACTCAACTTCGGTCTGACGGACCAGGCCCACTTGCTTAGCGATGCCCCGCTGTCAGAACAGGCTGGCTAATCAATCAGCAGAGCAACGGAGCATCGAGGCTTGTCAGAAAAACGGCACGCCTCACCGACAGCGGCCTCACCGCATGAACAAACTTGACTGGTTGACCGCACGAGAGAAGAGCTGGTTCCTCCATGCATGCGCGCGTGCGTGTGTGTGTGTGTGTGTAGTATCGCACTTCATTAGCCAAGTCAGCCCGAGTACGAGTGAGCCTTTGACGTTCATCCTTGTGTTTGATTTCTTTCCCCATCTGAGGCCTTTTGTTTTAGAAAGTCCTCCGGTGGCCATGCGATAAAACTGATTGTGCAAAAAAAAATAATAATAAATAATAAAATAAAAATAAAAAACAGATACAGACTTGATTGCTCATACAAGCACATCTGGAAGCGAATCTGCTCTCGCTCACCCTCTCTCACACTCTCACTCTCTCATGGTGAGCATACTTGGGTTCAAAATGTGCACCTGAGAGATCTATTTGGGTCCTATTTTTTTTTTCCATAATCGAGCAGCCCTCTGTGAGCGTGAGTGAGCGCACAATTCAGCGCCCCCTAGTTGGTGCAACAGACCGACCGACAGAGTGAGCAATCTGTTAAGTGTGAACACACAATTTGCCCCCCCCGCCGTTCGGGACCTTCTTCAATCAGGCACTCGACGTCTTGAAAAGGGCACGCACCTCCATGACAAAGCGCTTATCGTGGCTGCCTCCGCTTTCAGAGATGAGCTCATACTTGAGACCTCGCCTTTTCTCGTTCAGCTCCATGACAGGGTTCTTCCCGCTCGCCGTCAGTATGGGGCCCTGAGTTCGCACCTGAGGGTGTTACGCACGCATCTTAATGCGATGACGGTGTCGTCAGAAAGGTCCCCCCTGCGGTCGCTTTGGCGTTGCATTCAAGGCCCACCTCCAGCGTGTTGGAGCCGTCCGAGGAGTGCGACGCGTTATTGCTCGTGTGCGAGGACGTCTCGCTCTTGCCTTCGCCGTCGGACTTCTCGTCCGAGCTCATTGGGTCGAGGTCCGAGTCGAAACCGGTCGGGTAGCCCATCGCCTGGAGAACCTGCGGAAGGGACGGAGACGGTGACCTTAAACGGGAGCTTTAAAAGCTAGCTGGATAAAAAAAAAAATGAAAATGTAACGAAGGGTTATTATTTTCTTGTTGGCAAACGTCGTATATGTTGATGTCATGAAAAATGACCGCATCGGTGTCGGAAAATGAAACCTACAGTCCAGAGGCGAGTGGACCATGATTAAATTTTCCTTTTGAAATGGTGGAAGGGTTCGAATGAAACCACCTGCTTTTAGGCATAGAGGAAAAAAAAAAAAAAAAAAAAAAAGACGCTTTTTTTTCGGACCCACTGTGTGATTGTGTTTACTGATGGAGAGATCATACGGGCGAAACATGATGGAAAGAAACAGAGAGAGGGAGAGAAGAGAAAACAGGGAGACGGGCAGAAAGCCTTTTATGGGAATGAAGCATGGAGCGGATTATCCCCGCTCTTTGCTCTGGAGAGCCTTTTTGTTCACGACCACTTTCGGATTACACAGATTTGCCCACCTCCGCACACACACACACACATTCAAAATCTGCATTAAAAAAAAAAAAAAAAAATCATAGAATGTATTTTTGGGCACTAACAGCAAAGAAAAAAAAATCTCTCTTGGTTAAAAAAAAACAAAAAACAAACAAAACAGTTTTGTTACTTTGACAGCAACGTGGAGCTTGGCGGTCTTCTTGGAGGAGCCCGACGCTTCGTAGATGCTCCCATCCAAGTCCACAGACATGGTGAAGACGGGGGCGTGGACCGGGCCCGACTGGGAGAGGAGGCGATACTGCAGACCTGGACGGATCTGGTTCAACCGCATCAGGGCGTTCATTGGCTGGTTGGAGTCGATGGCTTTGCTGTCGAGAACTGAGCCAACATTTGGGAATTTAGCTTATCTGGTAAACTGCGGAGAAACTAAAATAAAATACAACTTGAACTGTTACGGGGGGGGGAAAACTGAGTGCAATTTTGGAATCAGAATGCCAATTTTAGCTTCAATCAGCATAATAATTGAACACTGTTTTTTTTTTTTCCTCAAACTGTTCCCTTGTTTACATTCCAAAAATCTCTCTATTTTCAAATATCGCAATTAACGTCGCACCGCAAGTAATTCTGCGGCTCCATCTCCTGTTTTCCAGCAAGGTGCGCGCAGTCGAGCATATTTTTGCGACGCTTTATGGATCATCGTATCCCAAAACATTCTGTGCGATCTCTTTTTTTCATGCGAGCGGCTCGAAATAAAACAGCCCGGTCTGCCCTCCGGCGCGAGCGCTTCATCTTCTCCTCGAAAGAGGAGAAGACGTCGGGCTGGTACAGTGGCCTGGTAAAACGCTGGCAATCGATAGTATTGATCAGCATGCGAGAAATGTAAGATGACTAAAAAAAAATTTAAAAAAAAATGAGAGAGGCTGACGGGCGGAAGGAGCGAAAGAAAAAAAAAAATCTTCAATGTGTATGCGCCTTGTTTTTGTTTGAAAATGTTCCGCTGCCAAGAGGACGTTTATTCATCGCCGAAGTAAAACGGGGAATCACGACATCCCTCCACATGGCACACCTCTCCGAAGATTCCGCTTCATCTTCTTGATGAGGTCCTTGTCGTCCATCATTCCCTCATCGTATGGCCTTTTCAAACCCAAGCCTGGAAGGAGAGCGGGACACGTTGCTTCATCATTCCGCAAAATACGACGCGCGTTTTACGTGAATGTCAACGCAATTACACCGGTTGTAAACTGCCAAAACTATGATTGAGTCGCTATACGGAGGAGGTAAACAGAAATGGGGAGGCCTGACGGTAATATTGATGGTGCTGTCAGAGCTGGGGGGGAGGGGGGGGGGGGGTCAGGAGGTGACGTTTGAGATCCAACAGGGAACCTTTTCAGTGCGAAATCCCTCAGCGCGAGGCCAGGGGGGGGGTCAGGTGACGTTTGAGATCCAACAGGGAACCTTTTCAGTGCGAAATCCCTCAGCGCGAGGCCACGTAGCCTTGGAATGTTTTAGCTTGAATGGAAGAATGTGCGCGCACACACACCTTCTTTGTCACACCAAGGGTATTTCTGCAACGGTTTATTTGAGGGAAGAGGCTCCATCTCCAGCACTTTGCAGATCTGTCCAAACGCCATGAGCCTGAGAGCACGCTGTCAAACACAAAGCGCATACAGAGGAGAGAAGATGAAAAGACTTCGGACGCCCGCGTTTTGACCTCGCGCTTCTTACGGACTTTTGTTCTCACGCCGGATTTTGCCTTTGCCGGGTGAGCGTGAACGTGGCGCGTTGGTAGCGTTTGAGGGGAAGTCAAGTTATTATGATGTTTTTCATCGGTCGGCGACGCTCGCCTCCGACGCGGAGGTAACGGTCAAGTCGTCTTCATCTCATCGGCGCACGTCCATCGATCGCAATCAATCAAGCGCGCACGTTGCCGGCCCGCGCAAACGACGAGGCGGGGCGGCGGTGCCCTGCGATGGCCGCGCTAATGGGAATCCATTAGGGAGCCGGAGCGCCTGGCATATTCATGAGGCTCGGCGTAGTAGCCCGATGACAGAACAGCTTCCTCTCTTCTATCGGCGCTTGTATCTGCTCCGATACAAATGATCCCCCCTCCCATTGACATTCCAGCCTCGTTCGTCGTGCCTTCAAAGGGAAAATGGACGGCCGGATTCACTGAGAAACACGCGAGCTCGGAACTGCTGCTTGATCCAGTCGAGCGTGTGTGTGAGGGACACCGCGTACGCACACACGTAAATGCCCTTGTCAGGGTGTCAAAGATGGATGTTATGTGTGTGTGTGTGTGTGTGTGTGTGTGTGTATACACCGTACCTGTGCGCTATACGTAATGGCCTCCGCCTGCTCATCCGTCATGTTGGCTAAAGTGTTGGTGGGCTCCATCTCGCACGGGTCGCGCAAACCTGGACCGCCTGGTGGAAGTGCCAGAACATGACGCAATGCAATGTGGTCTCACCGCCTTTCAGCAACATTGAACGAGGATTTATTTTTATGACCCCGAGGCGACAGGAAGGTGGCAAATTATGTGAATTGTCAACTTCTCTGGAAGCGATTCAAACAAGCCCCGCCCACCCCCACAAACAATAAACGAGGCGACACAATGTCATTGACAAAACCATTTTGTCCTTTGGTCCACAATGAAATCCGACTTTCGGTTGGTTTCAACATTTGCGTCGAAACTTACAAATCTGTTTTGATTTCACTTGGGACGTGCGTCATCCTCCCCAACTTGATTTTTGCGGCGCTTCGTGTCACTAAATGGACTCTCGCCTTCTCGCTCGCATTGTGTCACGCCACATTCGATGTGAAATGTTTTCAGACCTGGTAGCAGTATGCCCGAGGCGAGACACTCCATCACTCGGCGCAAGGCTTCTCCTGCCCCGAGAGGTCGGTTGCAGGTGGCGATGGCCTTCTCGCAGATCAGTTCCAAAGGCTGCCAGAAAAGCGGCAAAAAGGAAAAAAAACAAAAAAAACAAATTGCATTCAATGCACATCCGCAGCATGATTTTCCATCGATACGTTGAAAGATTGAGGATGACGATGTGCGTCCTGAACGAGTCATCCGATCTTACCCATCCGTTAAGGGGCTCCCAGGCGGGTTGTCTATTGCACATATCTCTAAGTATCCTGAGAACGATAACGCAGGACTTGAGTCCATTCACTCGAGCCTGACAACAACAGAAACGGGATAAAAAGGGAACGGCGGCAGAATAAGAATCGGGAAGAAATTGAGGGACAGAAGAATCTGTAATCGTACAGAAAAGACAGCGCTCGTTAGCCAAACTGCCTAAACTCCAGAATTTTTCCGATGACTTTTTTTTTTTTTTTGTACTTTTGTGTACTTCTTTTTTGTGTGTGTGTGTGTGTTTTGGGTCAGTTAGTGAATCGGGAGGATGGGTGTGGGAAGGGTTTTAAAAGGGAGGAATTGACTTGATACAGAGCAGGCAGGTTCACAAAAATCGCAAAAAGAAAGAAAAAAAATCACAATTGCCTTTGTAGCCTCACGATATGATTTTTTTTTTTTATATTTCGGATTTGATGGCTTTTTTTATTTTTTTTTTTACCTATGTGGAGTCTTATTACCGAAGCGGTAATGCGATACGATGACATGTACTCGTTGGTGACTCTCGTCATTTGGGGTCACGACCCGAGTCAATCGTCAGGCTACAAAAAACGGCATCAGGCAGGAAGACAGGAAGTGAGCGGGTGCCGACCTGGAACCACTTGGCGTGTCGCAGCGCTGCCAGGGCCAACAGACATCTGTGTCTATCCAGCACCTCTCCCTCTCCCTCTTCCTCCTCCTCCTCCTCCTCAGCCTCCACTCTTTGCGCGGCAGCACCCAACACTGCCACGAAAACAATAACAACCCAACGTAGAAAACGTAAGACACACATCGGAGCTGAGCGCGCGTGTGTGCTTTCCGTCGCGCGCGGACGCGCCAATGCGCGCAGACGCGCCGGTTTCTCGGCGCGAGTGCGGGCATTCCGCGCCGCCGCGAAAGTTTTCGGCTCAGGCGGCGCTTTCGCCGTGCCATCAGGTCGCTCGTCTGCTTGTAGAAACGCGTTCGTTCTACAATTCGCGGATCTGTGGCGAAAGCGCACCGTTCAAATAGCGCGGCTTTTTTTTTTTTTTTTTTCCCAAACGCGGATCGGGTTGGCATCGGCGTGTTAGGCGGCGTGAGCGTTACGCATGATGCCACGATCCTCCGACTGGCGGGTGAGTTTGGAAAAAAAAATGGCACACGCTATTCAAGAGTGACTTACTTTCCGTGCATCTGGCGGCTGACAAATCAGTGAGATGGAGAGTCAAGAGGGCGGAGAGAATTTTTTTTGGGAGACAAACAAATACATCGGGAGCATTTGATTTACTGCGCGAGTTGGCGGCAAAGGGAAATCAAACGGCTCCGTCGTGTATTTGGAAATGATTTCTTTCTTTAAAAAGTATTTTGATCCAGACTTTTCACACCAGGCAGGAGTCAAAATAGTTGAGTTTTCACTTTGGGTTGACTTGAGATGCTTTGAGCAAGCACACGATATCAAGTGTCCAAAAAGTAGAACGAAACACAAAGAGTCTCTCGGGTAGGTTTCGCTCTCTCGAAAGCAAACCCAACCGAGGAAAGATTAAAGCGTGGGGGAGGGGGGATGGGGGGCGGGGGCAGAGGTTAGAAAGGGTTGGATCATTCTTATGCTGCTGTATTGTTTTAATTTCTTGTCTCACCACCTTCCTGCAAGGCAAGTTGAATCCAACACAGCTGTATATGAATGAAAAGTGGTCACACGGAGGGTTTTTTAATTAAAAACTTTTTTTTTTTTTAAATCCCCCCCATATAGGGGGAATCTCGATGTGCGGGACTCCGAGTGAACTAAAACGCACTCAAGAGTGGCCGTGAAAACATGCTCAAGTAAATGTTGTTCTCATCCCTTCCAAAGCCTTTCCTCGAGAGGTATTAAAGGGAAATGTCAAACTGTTATCATCGAGATGCAAGCGCGTGATCTCGGAACTCATCCGGCCATGATCGCGGGGCCGGCATTTCTGCTGTCAAACGCAAGGCTGCCTTGCGTTTGTGTCCGTTTCCTTCAGTGTGATGCATAAAAGCGGTTTCTCAAAGGGCCGTCCCGCGCGGGAGCGTTCGGACGTCGGATCATTACGGTTGCTCCTCTATCTCTCGTATCCCAAACTGGTTCTCTTCTTATTCTCTGCCAGCTGCTCTTCCGTCGACGCACCGGTGAGCAAACAAAAGCCGCAGCTGCACCGCAGCTCAAAGTACAGGGGAATCTAGAAAATCTAACGTCACCGAGGTCATACAATTAGGAATCTCACCGGCATTTTGAGGGGAAACTGTGCCCGCTAAAGATGCAAAAAAACAAAAAAAAATGGCTCAAAGTAATCAATACATAGCAGAGGGTATTAGCAGAAGAATGTGATCAACTCCATCAATGATTTGTATGCATTTACATTCGATTTGTGTGGGAATTTGTCATGATGAAAAAATGATTAGCAATGGTTAACTTATTTTTACACTTGTATGATCATTAAAAAATGTTACAAATTGCCTTTCCTGTAAATTCGGACATCAGTGACGAGCCAATGGGAACCCGAGTTGACTACCAAAAAAATAAAATCAATTATGTAAAATTTGTACCCTGACTCTTTTTACATAAGTTGCAAAAAAAAAAAAAAAAAATCACATTTTTCTGTATCTCCACTTTTCTGCTACAGAAAATGCATTTAAAAGTATATTGAATAAAAATATGTACCGAAGTTTACAACAACAGAGACTGACAACTGGAGGCCGGGCAATAACCTTTGCGACACAAAACATTGAATAAACGTCACGTATGTCATTGAAGGGTGTCCATGTGCACGCGTGCTTTTGAGCAAACGAGTCGGCGCTCTCCTCGAACCCGCCGCGGCACGTTTTGGCCAAACTCGGCGTCATCTCTCATCTCACCCCGGAGACCACAAGTGTCGAGTTGGACAGGAAGCCACACGATGGACGGCTCGCTCGCTCGCTACCGCGTGGTTATCGATTCCGGGGACCAATCAATTTAACTCATTCAGTACCAGCCAATTCTCGACCAAGTCTGAAAAGACGTTTAAAAACGTCTTCGGGAGTGAATGAGTTCAAATGACATGGAAGCCAGGCTTTCCGAACTGTTCTCCTACCGTGGCCGTTCCTCTTCTCCGTCTCCTCCACGTCGTCCTCCTGTTCTGCTGCCACCTCCTCAGCTCCCGCCCCGTGGAACTCCTCGTGGCCCTCCACTTCCTCCTCCTCTGCCGCCAGCACATCCTGAGCTTCCTCCCCCTTGTGCTCCCCCACTTCATCTTCCTCTTCCTCCTCCTCCTCTTCGTCGTCCTCATCTCTCATGGCCGGAGAGGTGAGCGTGATCTTCAGTGTGAGTTTGGGCTCGGTTGTAGTCCGTACCAGGATGGCCGCCTCGGGCAGGGAGCTCCTGACCTCGTATTTCTCCTCTGTCAGCTTCTGTCATGTGTCGGGCGGAAAATAAAGTAGGTGGTCACAGATCACGGTCAAAACATATGGCGGATGAAAAGGCGGCACGGCGGAAAAAATCTCGGTCTGAGTGCAACAGAATGACAAAGCAGAAATAAGGAGTGACGAGAAAAAACCTTCGGCGCGGATATGCTCAGCTTGAGGTCTCGGAAAATGTTACGGCGCTGTGCGGGGGATTCTCCACTGGCTTTTGCGTATCATGGACTTTTTTTTTTTTTCTTCTTGTCAAATGTCCTCCTGAGTTGCAAAAACAAGTATGTGTGTATTCCTGTGACATTGTTTTTAAGCGAGTAGCGGCCACGAGGCCAAATGAGACAAATCAGAAACTCCAAATTACGCTGCCCGCACACATACACGAGCATGCTTACTGTATATCCGCACACACAATCCAACTGGTAACTGAAACAAATGGGCAGAGGCGCAGGGTTGTAATGGATTTATCGGATAATTGCGGCAATGTCACATCGAGCTGAAGGGACTGTTATTCTTTGATAATGTGCTGGCCTATTTTATGCTAGCTAAACCTTTATGAGATCTCAATTATTCCTTCAGGATGACATTAACGGTTGTTTATTTCGCCTAATTACTTTGCTTGTATTATCACTGCCGTTTTATCTGGATTTTAAAATGAGATGAGACTTTTCGGGGGGGGGGGGGGTTGTTATCCACAAAAGTTGAGCCAGTGAACGGGCCGCCATTTTGGCTAGCAGCCAGACTAGCAGTTAGCTTTTTGAGGTCTGTGTGTGAACAAATAGCAACTAAGGTGTGAGGTTATCACATTTATTACAAGGGGGGATGGGGAGGGGGGATGACTGTATATGAATTTGTATACAGCGCAAAGGTGTACAAAACGGTACAAGTCCCCACGTAGAACTTAATGAGCAACTGACGAACGTTATAATCTAGCGACGGATGCTTATGAAAATCAATACAGTGCAGCCGAGCCTCTGGCTAAGTGGACGTCACGGCGAGCGATGTGCCGTTTCATCACGTGAAAGCGAATAGCGTTGCAGTGCAAATAAAAATAAATAAATAAATAAAATAGCAAACGGGCAATGCAACTCCCAGTAGCCACTCGTGGGCTTCTCAGATTGAGCCAAAGCCACAAGAAATGCTTGTGACACATCATAAGTCAGACCGATCAAACTGTTCATGTCAAGGAAAATATTGAAGCGGTTCCGCGTTGTCCATGCATCCACTTTCAGCGCTGGCAATTCATCAAAAGCGCTCGCGAGCGCAGCATCTCACCTCTATTTGCCCGGGTAAGTTGTTGCAGACCGAGTCCAATAATATCTGCGTGGGTTTATCTCTGCACATCAACACCAGCTCCAGGTCCATGTCGCCTTTTATGAGGAGGCCTTTCGCCACCAAACCGATTCTCATCACTCCGCACAGCACTCGACCGCCGCTGGCCTCCCTGCGAGGACGTGACATTGTCATATGATCAGCACTTATTTCAGATTTCGGTCACTCCGCGGGCAGCGTCAGCCGCACCTGTGGCCATCGTTGGACCCCTCGGCTTCCCCGCCGGGCTTCTCGTCGTCCTTGCCGTCTGGCGCTCGGCCGTCCACTTGGCCGAGTGCCTCCGAGTTGGTCTGATCCAGCCAGTCCGAGACGTGTTTCAGGGCGCACTCCACGTTGGATACGAGCGTCTGAACCGCCTCCAAGTCGTGAGACGACGGGTAGATGGTGGAGTGCTTCGCCATGACGTGGCGGTCGTCATTGCTGAAGGAACGGAAGGACCTCTGCAAGGGAAATTGGTTTTACCGCCATGATATAAATGGAACCCCAAAGTGAATGAATGGCGGATGTGATTGCGACGGCTGTAAATTTGGAGCGCTGACTCTGGCACAAGCAAAGAAAGTTGCACCAGTCCTTTGTTGCACCACATTTAGTTCAGTTTAGTTTTGTTTTCGGGACCAAACTCAAAAGGCGGAGACGCTCTGTGCCAGATTAGAGCTATTTAGTTCATTTCTGTCCGCGTAAAACAGAATACCAGAAATGAAGATTTGTCACAAAAAATATTGCTGTTACAGCAGCCAAGTAAATAGCAGCAGCACACACAAATATAACAACTGAGGCCGACCAATATGATTTTTTTTTTCGTGAGAAGAAAGTTCAACGTGACCGTTTCCCGGGTTTCCGTTCTGTATCGTGACAACCCCTTCAGCCGTCTTCGGCGCGTCATGCGCCGCAGCGGTAAAGCAGGCGTTCGGATGTGGCGATTAAGTGAGAACTAATCTAATTTCAGAGTAAAACCGACACAGCGGGGAAGTTAATTTGCCGTGCGGGGAGAGGCTGATGTATGACCCCCTAATCATAATTACACGGCATTATAATCCATTATCTCGACATATGCTGTGATATACAAGATGCAAATGCTACACCGAAGTGATTTATGCCCCCCCCCCCACTCCCCCTGCAGCATAACAGCACCCCATTATTTTATATTATATTTAATACCTCGTAACAACTGCACAAACAATGCGTTGCTCACGGTCTGCCTTTCATTTAGCAGCTTTACCGTCTAATATTATTTTCGGACAATTTCTCCTTTTCGCTCTTCTTTTTTTCCCTTTTCTCATATCTGCCACCTCACACTCCGGTGAAGGAAAGTTCATTTTTGAATCATGAAGGTTATCGCACGATGCTGGAGAGCAGCCCGAGGTGCAGGGGCCCAGTTCGACACAGATGGGGGGCTGCTCTCGACACGCTTGCAAAACAGTCCCCTCTTATCTCCCAGACGCACGCTTCCCCCTTTTATTCTCCGCACTCGTGTACACACACGCGCGCACACACTGATGCACACATGCTTTCTTTCACTAGAATGCGGGAGATAAAGCCATTAACAGAATAGAGGATGAGTGCTGCACACAATAAGCGAAGCCACCCCGGCCGGCCTTATTTAGCTGCGCGTGGAGAGTGATGCAAACGTCTGGCCAAGTCTAATTCCTGGATCCCGCCAATGATTCAAATTTAGATGTGACCGTAAATCTTGTCAAATATGGAATTCAACTCCAAGTTGCTTGATGTAAACGGCTACGTTAGCATTGATGTGACCTAAAGAGAGTTTGCCTGCGTGCTTTTCATAAGTCATTCAAATCAAGTTTTATTGATTTAACATTAAAACATGAACGTCTGCTTCTACCTGTAAGCCATTTAATCATGAAATATGTTGCGTAAACAACGCCTGTGGAGTTAATGAAGGCTTTAAGAGCGCGTGGACTCTGCAATGAATGATTCCAAATATAATTAATCGCAATGGGGATTGTTTTTTTTTTTCAATCCAATTTCATTTTCAAACAATGACTACTTAGTGGACCTGGAAATACTGTTTTCAATATTTTATCATTCTTACCAAAAATGTTTGAGGCATTTTTCCTTTAAGTGCATGCTGACAAAAAGCAGGAAGAAGCTGAAAAAAAAAATAATCAATGCCTTTCCCAATGCATGAGCAACATTTTCTTGCATTGGGTGTTTTTTATAATTTCGCTTCAATGCCACACATTATTATTATGATGATGCTTTTTTTTTTTTTTTTTTTTTTAAACAGGTCACCCTTCATGCATGCGCACAATCATGAGACCATTTCATACTTGTGGGTGTGTGCATCCCCTCAAAAGTGTTTAAACAAACCAACAGCCACAAATTTAATGAGCTGCCTCTAATGGGAGGGGCGGGGCTTCAAGAACACACTTTGTGAGCTCTTGTCGACGTCTGCTTGACTGTGGGGGAGGTGAGCCGCAGCTGCTCCGACCGCAATGTAAATTGGAGCAGTTATGAGAGCTCAGAGACGGCAATCGATTCCCCCCCCACGCCCCCTTAAAGCGCAAGCCCGGACAACTCGAGAGGTGGCACCATAAGATACGAGCTACATGGAGTTTTAGCGAAAAGGTTGGACGTCAAGGTAACGTTAAAAACAAGCAATTTAATCAAGGCCCGTCTGATGAAGCAACCGCGGAGCGCTCTCGTGACCTCTACAATTCCTCAGCTACTAAAAAAGGTCCCGGGTGGCGTCAGTAAAGCGCAGACTCACAAGGATACGCACTCCATCTTTGAGATGTTGACGTGACCGTCCTTGAGCCCACCTTGATTTGCCCACTCCCGCAATCTGCCGGCCTAGTTTGAAGAGCGCGTTTCACCACACAGACTGAAATCTGGGCCATCAATGTCAGCAAACACCTCATATCGGCTGTCACAAAGGGATCATCCCGAGTGATTTTTTTTAAAAATGGTTTTCAAGCAATTAGTCCAGCCAACAATCAGAGATGTTCAACGTGTTCCCTTTTTTTACATGCAGATCACGAAAGAGTCATTCCTTGGGTCTGCCGACATGCTGACACAACTAGCGGGTACAGTACAACAGACGTTGCGAATTAACATGAAAGACAACTCAGAGTAGAAATTTCTCCCCCCAAAAAAATCCCTATTGTGAGATCATTAAAAAAAAAAAAAAAACAGACTTGTTTTGGCTTTGCTCTAAAATATGAGCGACATTTCCATCAATTGCACATGCACATCAAATTCGGAAGCTGTTGAGCATGCATTTCCTTAAAAGGCAAAACAAATTTTTGAAAAACACCCATATCTCCCTTTTGATCAATATTAAATCTCAATCAAGGCTCAGTCGTGTGACTTGAATTCAGTGATTTGTTTTAATCTAACCGTGCTTAAAATGTCTCTGCATTAAACCAATGAATGAGTTCACTTGACATGATTTCCGACAGGAAAATTTGAAGAACGTGCGAGACAAAAATGTCACTTAAAATGCCAGATGACACATAACGGATGACGCGTTTTATGAAGCCTCATTTGCTTCAACATGCCGTGAATCAAGTCACGGATTATTCAGCGCAGCCACACTTTCAACGTCACACAATTTCATGAAAAGAAGCACTCGTGAGTTCCGCGTGATCATAAAAACTGGCAGTGATCAACAATCAATTGTTTGCAATTTCTGTTTGTTTTTTTTGTTTTTTTTAGCAGGCGCTGCGTTAAGCAAATGTTTCATCAGGCGCTGTATTAAGGCCACTTGGGTTTGAGGGTGCCTTTATAGGTAGACAAGATTTCTCGTCTGCACTTACTTTGAATAAGTCATGTGCCTCGAGTGCACGCTGAGTGCTGAGATAAGAGGGCGATGGTGAACAAACACCGAAAGCGGAGGAGTCGGGGGGGGTTTTTCCTGTGAGGGCCGCATAAGCTTTGCTTCTGTGATGGGGGGGGGGGGGGGGGGGTCGGGCAGGTGGAAGGAGATGAAGCTGACGAGCGTGAGAAAAGCTTCCAAAAGAAAACGAAAGCCATTGACCAGAGTTGAGATGGACAACAATATTAATATTTGGTGCTGTTTGCAGCAAAAAACAAACAAACAAACAAACAAACAAAAAACTAAAAGGCTTGCTATGAATGGGCTTGACAGGCGGTATGAAAGGAGAATTTCAGCATAAAAGGCATCACGTTGACATAGAAAGAGTTAAAACTTCAAAACCCCTCATCAATAAGCACTTAGAAGCGACGGGGCCAGCAATGGGATAAAAATAAAGAAAAGAAAAGAAATTGTGGCTTCTTTGGAGCATTCAGCAGCCAAAGGGAGATTGTATTAAAAATTCATTCCGTGCACTCTGTGGCATGCCGATGCGCCGCACTCTCCGCTCGCCCCTTTTTCCATTGTGCTTTTCCTTTTTCATGGTCTTTCCAATTACAACACACCTGCACTGGGACGTCAAAAATAAGTAAGCGTGAACTGACGGCAGGCAGTTTTCCATTCCGGCTAAAAATAGAACACCTGGACTAAATTGAGACATCGTGTGCAAAATCTTCAGAATTATTTTAGGAACGATTTTTTTTTGTTTGGGTTTTTTTTTTTTAATCTCAGGAGCTTAAAGTCGAACTCTGTCTTTGGACAAAGGCCATTTTTTTTTTTTTTTTTGTCATCATGTCTGCTTATGTACTGACGGGCGTGCGAACGCCTAACTTAAAACGAAAGCACCACTAATAGCGGATGTCGGGCTCTACTTTAGTAGGCGTAATAATACCGTACAGTTGGAACGCAACTTCACCAGAAGAAGCTGTTACGTATAATCAGATAATACCATATGTGTCTTTGGAAATGGTGAAGCAGCATGTGGCTCATTACCAATGGTCTTTTTTTTTTTTTGAATGCTCACTTCCAAGTTTTTTAAAGTGAAAATGACTTTTTAGAAGCCTGACAAAATTGGAAAGATTTACAAAAAGTCATCAAGTAATTCAAATGAGGCCTCAAAATAGTGGAAAAAAAAAATAAAAAAAAATCACACCAGTCCCTCCACTCTGAAACGCTGCGGGTGTCTCCGCCGCACGTGCTGAAACCACATCTCACTCATTTGTTAGCTGTCAATCAAACACCAGCAGTAGGACCTGCAAAAATAGCCGCGCATTTGCCTCGCATCTTAATCTCATGCCGCCACATACATACGCGTTTGAACCGCAAAAACGGCGCCGCTGTGGCGATCATACATCCACAAGATCGGCGTGAGGCTTCGCGGCACCACGGACGCGCGCATTTTAAATGGCCTGTTGTTGAAGGTGAGAGTGAAATTGAAGAGTGAACAGGCGCCGAGACCGTTACAAGCGAAAGAAAAAGATACCCGCAAAGAAGCGATGGGGGGAGACCTCAAAGGAGAGAGTGCGCGCACAGGTACCGACTTGCCTGTGTATTCATTAAAAATAGAAATCTGAGCGCAAAGTCATTAGGCAAGATGCTTCATGTATCACGCGGTTTAGGCGCTGACAACCTCGCCAAGGTCACGCGTATCTTTTACTGCATCACCATAACTCAGGACTAATCACGGCGCCGTGTTTGCATGCGGCGAGCGAGTGCGCGCCCGCGCGCGCGCGTGTCTCATTACCCTTGGTAATTTACGACCTCAAGCATGTCCCCTGTTCGGCAAAGTCCAAAATCAACAACTGCGGTGGTATCTCCGTTCCTGTCTGTATCTCTCTCAAGCATCGGTTCTCCTTGACCCCGCCCTCCCCTTCACCTCTAAGGATTGTATCCTAAAAACACCTCTCCACACTCTTTTGTTTCCTCCTTCCACTTGTTTTACCTTTTAATAATTCATCATCTGCTCGGCTCCCCCTCAGGGAAAAGCTCCCGCTGTCACGGGCCGAGACCATTAATCAATCCCTTGTTTCGCTCCCTCCCTCCACCTCTCAACTCCTCCGCCATTGCACAACCATGCACTTGTAATTTGGCTGCGCAATGTATACTTTGTAGTAGGGCCCCCTGTTTTTTTTTTTTGTGCTCATTTTAACATTTTCGATATGCTACAGTACGGCAAAGTGTGCATTACCATGCCGACAGGAAGAGCGGTCACTGACTTCCTTCCTTCCTTCCCTCCTTCCTTCCAACGCCCGCTGTTGGGGTTCGCCGGGCGTGAGGGTGTGCTGCACGCACGCACGCACGCACGAGGTTACTGGTCAGGATGCCGCCGTCACAGTGCTCCTCATGTGCGCCTCCGTCGCTGTCGCCACCGCCCGATGAGAAGATGCCCCTGGGAAACGACACGCTGGTTATTGACTCAAACTGAATAATATCCCCCTTTTAAAAATACGGCGGAAGAGCTGAAAGATGATGCGCCGGTCAGCGTGTGAACACACAGACTGTCGACACACTTACAAGGCCCTATTCACATTTCATGTGCTGGCAGGGATGTGAGCAGGCAGCATGTGATACAAACACGTACTTGTCCTCGGTCAGTGGCTCAGACGCTTGAGCTTGACGCTCGTTTCTTACAATTTATGCCACAGCGAGTCTTTGTTGACACGACTGCTTGGGCACCTTTCATTGTTCAGTATCGTGATACCAGCATCAGGAACTGATACCGTCTTATACGCCCGTAAATGACCGAATGGGACTGAATGGTAATTTGGGGAAAAAAAAATTTAAACGGCGGGGATGTATCGAGCGGCTAAATGAGAAATAAAGAAGGGCAGGTTTGATAATGAAAAGGGACAGGTGAAAGGAAGCGTTTAAAGGGAGGCCAATTGGAAAGGGGGTGGGGGGGACCATAAACAAGTGAGTGCCTCGCTCCTTATTTTCTCCCCGGCAAGCGTCGCTCTGGACGCTTCGAGCCACTGGCCTGAAACGCTCGCAATTAGCGCCTGAACACACCTGGCAGCGACAGTCCGCGCACTCGTGATTTGCCTTTTACACTGACACGGCCAACAAGGGGAAATTGGGGAGAGAGGGGGGGTGGGGGTAACCACTCTTCCATCATGGCCATGCCTACAAACATTGCACGCACATGATTTGAGTGCAGGTTACGTAACCTGATGTGATGCCTTCATTTTTTTTTTTTTTTTCAAAGCAGCTGGAGTCTCCAAACAAGGTTTGAAGTGCCTATTTTGGCAAGATTTGACATGATGTTTTGACGTGTTCATGTGTAAATACAATTAGTCAGTCGATTTTTTGGGGGGCATTTAAATGGGTCAGGCCTTAATGGTGCCGTCGCAAAATAATAATTTGCATCATGCGTATTAAAGCGGCAGCCCTCCGCATTCATCGGTACCCAAGAAGCAGCTCTCAGCTACAACCCCTTGCTGGCGTCTTCAAAATGAAGCTCTACGAGGGTTGATCAAAGCAACTCTGGGGAAACAATTCTTGCATCCACACACTCTTTCCTTCCACTTTCTTTTTCACACATCCTCAGTGTGTGTGTGTTTTTTCTCAAGGGAAGGAGGGGGAAAAACTGGCAGGAGCCCTCCGTCATGAACCTTGGGGACAGGACATGTTTGCAAACACAGATGCGCACGTGGGACAAACAAAAAAAAGCCCATTTTCACATTTTCGGCGTCGTCAACGTCATTTCAACTTTTTTATTTTTTTCTGAAGATGATTATGTGTGTGTGTGTGTGTGGGGGGGGGCATCTGTGCCGTGTCCTTCCATCAGTCGGCCATTAAATCCTGTTTTCCCTACAGGGATGAAAGGAATCAGGTGGCGGATAAAAGGGAGGGACTGGAAGTGATTTCAAGACGAAGGATAGATTGTGTGGGAGAATTGCTGATATGGCTTTGAGCGGCAATTTACACTTTTCTCTTCGGATAACCATCAAAGGGCATGAGCTCTTGATGAAGGGGGGGGGGGAAGGGATGCAAGCCACAGTGTGGGTGAGTGTTAATTAGTGGCGGCGGAACCGCTTTAGAGAATTGATTTCCTTATAGAATTGTTTACGTTGCCATTTTTCAAACTGTATGGATGCCATTGAACTCTTTATGTGAACTACAGCCCCTTTTTCATGCCCTCTAAAAGCCAGCACCCACCCCCCCCCCCCTCCCCCCCCCCTCCCGCCCCACTGTTGCTAATTTTGAGAATGGCCCACTATTTGAGGTTGAAACTACATTTGTGGTTCATGAAGTTCATCCTCTCAGCTGCAATGACAAGTTCTCCATTCAGCAGATTTGGAGTCGGTCAACAAACGGTCACGTTATATTCGTACCGCTTGGTTTGTGCGGATCATCGGTTTACTGGCGCGTTGATATTTGCATCTGGATAAACACGCGCGAGTGTGCTCCTAATGAGCAGGACAAACACGCGGATAATGAAACTCTCAGGAGCAGGTGGCGAGCTCAACAAACTCAGTTGGGGCAGGATCACGTTACCAGGTGGCCCTCGTCTTACTGCGTATGAAAACAAACGTGCCAGCTCTCCGAAAAGTGTTTGCTCAGCTTTGTTGTCCCGCGGTGAGACAGGGGAGCGGACGGTGAGACGGGCGGACGGAAATGGCAGCCGCTGCACACTTTCCTGAGAGCTTTTTTTGGGACTTCCTCCATCATCGGCCAGCGCAGTCCATGCTCCGTTCTACTCAACGTGAAGGTCGACTCCCAAACGATGCATTTCCTGCATGATCTGTACAATTCTACACGAGTCGTTCTTTTAGAGGAGGGAAAGGGGAGCAATACAGTGAAACTCCTCGACAACGAAACCTACATGGGCGAAAATACCCCCTAGTGTGAAAAAAATCTTCATGCATTAACACCATTCCCACTTTCCTGCCCCCCATACAACGAAAAAAAAAACCCTGTCGCGTTATACGAAACATTTTTCTCTGCTCTTGCCTAGCGATGAGATTCACAATGAAGTCTAATCCAACAGCGACCTCTACTGCTAAAAATAAAGAGTACACATACGTTTGTGTGTGTGTGTGTGTGTGTGTGTGTGTGTGTGTGTTTACAGCTGAGATCAAATTTGCTAGAGTGAAAAACCCCCTGTTGTGAAAAATTTCTTGCTGCAAACATGATTTCGTTGTAGAGGAGTTTCACTGTACTGCTCCGATTTCCCTCCTCTAAAAGAACGACTCTTGTAGAATTGTACAGATGGGATATGAGGAAAAAGGTTGTGCCTCCTAATTGGAGCCAATAAGCGGAAATGGACTACATCGTGTGAAAATTGCCAATCTATTTATGATGTCAACATTTCATCGCCGCATTATGACAGCCTAAAGAATCCAAACCAACGTTTGGATCGGTGGAATGACCAAGATTTATTTCCCTTAAGTGGAGTATGATTAAGGTACGCGCCAATCATTTTGGGTTTTCCAAATTTTTCCGCCTTAACCGGGTCTAACGGCAGGCAAAGAAATTCAAGAAGGCCACCGTTGGATAGTGGAGGAATAACAACTGTCACCGTGCATTGGTTTTATTTTGATTTTTTTTTTTTTTTTTTTAGCATTCGCACGCTGTAGCTCACACTTGACTGGGTCCAGCTGCGGGCCAAGAGAGGTCAGTCAGTCCTGATGAGTCGGCAAAAAGAAACTGCTGATGTTTCTTTGGAGGCGCACGCGGGGAGTGGAGGTGGCGGGGGGGGGGGGAGATAACATTGACATTATTGAAATGGAGATGGTGTGCGGGTGTGCATGCAGATATCCTGCTGACGGTGGATCATAACCAGAGAGACTCGGACACAATCCGTCCGTCCGTCATTCAGGGTAATCACCCTTGAGCGCACGTGCACATTTTCACGAATAATAAAGAGAGTGAGTACACCTACAGCGCCGCGGTGGCGCACGTGCGCGCGGCTGAGCTCCCGCTGCGTCGATTTCAGCGGGGAACAGATGGCGCCAGCCCAGCTGCCAAAGCCGCCGCACCCTATCGTCCATCATACAAATTGTACAGCGAGCGTGTTGACTTGCACGCGTTCGTCCGAGCAATTTTAAAGTCTGGTGAGAAACACTTTTCGAAGTACGGACGCAAACGTTGTCATTGAGTGCGACGGTGTCATAGCCAAGTGGTCTTTGGACTAGTTCTCTGATCCATTGACACTGAGTAGCTTAATCCCCCCCCCCCCCCCAACCCCCGCTTGAAAGGCTTTTCGCTGCTAAGCTCGCATTTGCCAAAACGCAAAGCCGTCCACGCCCACAACCGTAGCTTTGCACGGCTAACGTTTTTTTTTGTTTTTGTAAACAAAGACCCTCAAATGATTAAGAAGCCCCACAAGACGGGGTGTTGTGGAAGAGGAACACAAACCGTGTCTACTCAGGAACGCTCGATCAGTTTTTCTACTCGTTCCTGCTCCCTTTCAACATGCAAACTGCGCCGAACGAAGACACCTCGAGATCTTTTGCTTTCAATTTCGAGATTTTTGTGCTTTCGATATCTTTGTGATGTGTTTTGTGTACTCGTCCGAGCGGCTGAGAAGCGCCGCACCAAACAGATGGTGGATAAAACCTTGCAAACCTGCAGCGCACGTTCTACTTTCAGATGTAGAGATGCCGCATCCCAAACAAGATTTGTCGGTAAAAGTACTGAAATTGGTTTTAAGAAGAAATAAATAAAATAAAATCATCTTTCGAGATGCAAGTAGCCTTTTTTTAAAACTGCCTGGTGTGACAATTTTGTGGGATCAATCTGTCAAAGAGTAAATTGATTTTAAGGACTCAGTTTCGCCTTCCACCTCGTGAATTGATTGTCACTCAATGTCTATTAACAGATTAAAAAAAAATAATAATCAATAGAATTTCTGGCAAGACATTCTCAAACTATTGTTTCGAGGATATTGAAAAACGGCACACATAAAATCATCATCCCAAAGCCCTGCTAGTTGAAATAGCACGAGTGTGAGGGTTGTCCAGATGTGAACTAATTCCGTAATGGAGGAGTGGGGGTGGGGGTTTACTCCACGACACTCATAAGCAGGCTGGCGAGCGCACGTACACGTCACTGGAAGGTATCCCGGCGTTCCAATCTCTCGCCGCCATTGTATCCAGATTTATTATTGATCGTATCGACTCTGACTTTATGCTATAATGGAAAAATATACTATTTGGGTTCTACGAAAGTAAGGAAAAAAAATACTAAACAAACCTTCATTATAAATTTAAGAATTATTCTCGCCAAGTTCCATATCCACAAATCCAGATGGAGTAATTTAAAACCTCTTTTCTTCATTTTTGAAACAGAAATAAAGCAGTACCTAAGTTCTATTATGGATTCTAAAAACAAGAAAGCTATTAAAACTCTGGCTATATGCTCCTTAAAATCCCCTGGCTTCTTTTT